ATTTTGCTATGGCTCTCTGAGCTGACTAATCTATATATTCTCTCTATATAAAAGCTTATGCGAACGAACGGCCGAATGACCGGTAAACCGCTTGCTATGACACACACTGACCACCAGGGGGCAGATTCTCAATGCAGGAGCTGCCCCCTGGTGGTCAGTGCACTACCATAGTTAACCTCCCACAGCCCCTCCCTTCAGCTGGTGACCAACCTCCTGTAGTCCCTCCCCACAGCTGGCTGGCCCCAATTGGGGCCTATCAGGGCTAGCCAGGGGGAGGGACCCCACCTGTGCACGAATTCGTGCACCAGGTCTCTCATTCACATATAAGAAACTTAACCCCCTATTCACATAAATGTATGTGTTCTAAAATTCAAAATAATATGATTACTTTTCAGATTAATTCAGGTGCTCTATCTACCAAGTTGTAGGTCCCCCCTATCAAAAGTACATGTCCCCTTGTTTTCCCCCATTTACTCCTTCTAGCCCCCACCCCCCTCATACATCTTTTTGCTACTGAAAATATCCAAGGTGGCATGGAAAGAGACTCCTGCGTCCAGCCTGGTCTGGTTTGGGCCCCAGGGCCATTCTCTGCCACAGCACAGAAACTGATGAGTTTGAGACTCAAGACGCTGGAGGAGGCCAGCAGCTCAGAAGTTGCTGTTGTGGGTGAAAACTCACCCTAAACTTAATACCAGCTACCCAGCAACCACACCACAGTGGAGACAATGATGGGAAATGGCACAGCCACCTTGCCTCAAGCCCTTCATACCTATCATATGCCATCGCAACTTGTTTTTAATAATCCTAATTGCATACAAAATATGTGTTCTCATTGAATGGGTGAAGTCTTCTCAAGATTGCTCAAGCTATGCCTGGAGGAGGGAGGAATGTGAAAGTAGAGCCGACACTGCATTAGCACAGCGTCTGCTCTACCCGTTCGCAGGTCTGGCTGCACGCCCTCACTTAGGAGGGGTCAGATTTTTAGCACATGCTGTCCATTTCTTGGGGAGGCTGTGGGAGGAACTATCAGAGATGCTTCAGCCACCGCCCTCTTTATTTACTGATCTTCATCTCCTAAGTTTTGGGGTGCCTGTCATTTTGTCAGCACCTTGGTGGACACCCTGGAAAACAAACGATTCCAGGCCCCACCTTCATGGAACTCACACGGTCTAGTGTGAGAGATGCATACAAAGAAAATGAATAATAAACCAGGGTCAAGGGCTGGAGAAAAGGGCGATATTTTAGGGAAGGTGGTCAGATACTCAGCAGAGAAATTAAAGAGGGAGCGAGGACGCTCTGTCTGTGGAATGGCCACCTTGGTTTCTCTGCTTCACTCATAAACTTGCTTTCACTTTAAACTCTAAAAGTAAATAAAAAAAGGAGACTAGTGTGAAATTTTTCCCACACACAGTCAAGAACCCACACACTATAGGCCAGCCGAGGCAGACCCACTCCAGGCCCAGTTCCTGTCGGTAGCACTGATAGCACTGAACTTCAGCTTTCTCACCTGTACAACTGGGAAGACTGGATTGGATGTTAGCAGAGGGCCTGTCTAAATGTAATATTCTGAGAGTGCAGGTTAAGAATTAGATGAGGCTGAGAGGAGAAACATGAAATGTGAACAGTGAATGCTGGGGAAATGAATAGATCTGTAAAATTAGTAATTGGTCTGCTAGCAACAAACTCCATGATCTACTTCTAGGTTTCTCTGAATTTCATAAACCTCCCAAAATTGACCTATTACAATGGGGTCCTGGGTTGTGAGAGGGCGCAGGCCAGGTTGAGGGACCCCACCAGTGCACAAATCCATGCACTGGACCTCTATTATAGTTAAATATAAAATCTTAAGTGTTCACTCTAGCCAGTTAAAGTAGTAGGACCTTGGTACACCCTCCCATCATCCATGCCTGAGGTTTTATAAGGAATTCAAGTTTAATGTCGGGGGGAGGGAGGAGGGCGAGAAGAGATTAACCAAAGATCTATGCATACTAGAGGCCCAGTGCACAGCACCTGTGGGGTCCCTTGGCCTAGCCTGTGGGGATCGGGCCAAAACTGGAAGTCTGACATTCCCTGAGGGGTCCTGGATTGTGAGAGGGCGCAAGCCAGGCCGAGGCACCACATCAGTGAACGAATCCGTGCACTGGACCTCTAGTTAAATATAAAATGTTAAGTATTCACTCTAGCCAGTTTTTCTCAGTGGTTAGAGTGTCAGCCCGCAGACTGAAGGGTCACGGGTTCAATTCTAGTCAAGGGCACATACCTCGGTTGCAAGCTTGATCCCTGACCCTGTCAGAGAGCATGCGATAGGCAACCAATCGATATGCCACTCTCACATCAATGTTTCTCTCTCTGTCTCTCCCCCTCCTTTCCACTCTCTCTCTCTCTCTAAACAAACAAAAATCAATGGAAAAAATATCCTCTGGTGAGGATTAACAAACACACACACACATACACAGACACACAAAACTTAAGTGTGCATTTATGAAATTAAGTCCTTCTGGTGAAAAGGACATTAGGTATGTTTTGTAAATTCTTGACTAGGGAAAGCATAACAGGGTGTGTTAAGCAGGTTCAGGCAGGGTGACACAGGCAGACATTCATAAGAAACCAACGATATAAAAAGATATAAAAAAGCAGCAGGTGAGAAGGCTGCACACATGACCTACTAGAAGATTCAGCTTCAGTCCACTTTCTTTTTCCCAGGAACAGGGAATAGCGGTTGTTTATGGGGCAAAGTAGGACATGGGGCTTGCAGACTAGAAGGGTGGGGCTGAGAGGAATTGGAATGTGAAAGCAGGCTGAGCTAGTGAGACAAACACAAGGCCTGGAAGTCCGGTGGAGCTCAAGGGCTACTAGGAAGGGAGACATCGGCAGCTGCTTAAGCGTGTCCAGAAGGTGGAAATACTGTTGTGCATCATTCACATGTGCCTTTGGCTTGGATTCTTTTGGGTCATTTCTATGCACTTTTGCACAGAGAGAGGCACAGCCCTGCCAAGGGCAAACTTGGCAGTGAGGATGGCTCTTGGGAGCGGGTATCTTAGCAAGATACACCTAAGATTCACCCTGTGGATGAGAAGGGGTGGAAGGAACGATGGTGCTGAAATGGTTTCTGTCATAGATAGCTGGACCCCTGAGGGAACTTAATGCGGCTGCTGCTTCTCCCAGCCTCCAGGAAGGCGGAGCCCCAGCATTTGGTCTTCAGGTCAGGTTGATTCCTGGGGGATTTTTACACTTGATTGGAAAGCACCGTTTATTTTATGTACTACACCCTCAGTCATAAGTCTAGGACTTCTCCTTATGCTTGGAAGCCCATAAGACTCATTCTGCAAAAAAACTATGAGTGGCCTAGACCAGACCCAAGCAAGAAAAGTCTTCCAAGAGTCGAGGGAAACGATGTATTCTATTTGAGAGAAATTATAAGAGCCATCACCTCCAGCTACAGGTCATTCCTGTGCCACTCAGCCGCTGCGCTACTAATGACATTAAAGACGCCTTCATTACCCAGACACAGGAGCAGCAGATAGAGCTGTTGGAGATCCCAGAGCACTCTGACATCAAGCAGATTGCACAGCCAGGAGCAGCATATTTTTAGGTTGAACTTGACACAGAGGAGAAGCTTTTCCACAGAATTAAACAGAATTTTCCTTTGCAGTTTGGAAGGGAGGTCCTGGCAAGTGAAGCCATCCTTAATATTCCTGACAAGTCTGACTGGAGGCAGTGTCAGATCAGCAAGAAGAGGAGGAGACCCTGGCTCGGCGCTTCCGCAAAGACTTTGAGCCCTTTGACTTCACTCTGATGACTAAGCAAAGGGACAGGCACTTTATGAACTTCACAGGAAGTAGTAGCAGCCTGTGTTTTCAAGAAACTAGTCTCCCATGGGGACTGTTTCCTTGCCTCTTTTTGGTGCATTCCCATGGAACTTGTCTGCAGCAAGAGACCTAAGATGGAATATTTTTCAGAAAAAGCCATTTGAGGATGAAAATTTTATGTTAAAAAGCATGTTTGTCATCCAGCTGTTTATTATCATTGGGACTCATGTTGTCAGACTCAGGTCTAAGCGCACAGGCATGTTCATTCGATGCCCAGTTGGCCTGATGTAGGTTCGGTTAATCCCATTTTAATCATTGGGAAAACAGTTCCATGATTAAGTGATTTGCCCAAGTTGCTCCTATCGAATTCCAGACCATACTCCTGCTTGGTTACCTGTCTCCTATCAGAGTCAAAGGCCCTGATTCCTTATGTGGGTGTGAGTAAAGTAGATCCAGGAAGACAAGCTGAGGTACAAGCTGTCAGAGGGACGTGGGATCTAAGTAGCATCTGGATGCTTCCCCAGCCAGCAAGAGCTAGTTGACATGAGTCCTGGTCCACACCATAACTCTATACGTTGTGCCCACAGTATCCATCCACTTTACTTCAAAGCCAGACAAATCATTAATCTGAGTTTCTACGTCTGAACTTAGTTTTAGAATCACCTGTACTTAGTTTTAGAATCATATGAAAGCATAAGAAAAATGCTGATTTTATAAATTTTCAGAAAAAATGAGTACTAACTTCACAGCAAAATTTGAGAGAGGAAGTGGTAGGGAACTAACCCTTACACAGCAGTGTAGAAACCTGATCCAGAGTGACCCCTAGCCTTAGCTGGTTTGGCTCAGTGGATAGAGCGTCTACCTGTGGACTGAAGGGTCCTGGCTTCGATTCCGGTCAAGGGCACATGCCCAGGTTACAGGCTCAATCCCCAAAAGGGGGTGTGCAGGAGGCAGCCAATCAATGATTCTCTCTCATCATTGATGTTTCTCTCTTTCTCCCTCTCCCTTCCTCTCTGAAATCAATAAAAATATATTAACAATAAAAGATAGTCAACATGACTCATCACCTCTCAAAGTCTCTTCCTGTCCTTAAAAAAAAAGAAAGAAAAGAAAAAGCAGTTATTTTAATAAAGAGTTACTATTGGCCACAAACTGTTCCAGAAGTTAAAACAGTACACAATGAAATGTATAAACAGTTTTTATTGAGATGCTTCCGCTCCTTTTTTTTAAAAAAAAAAAAGCAGATTAATCAGTTTGCAAAGAGGTCAACAATTCCTGTAAGAAAAGAGAGTTCAAGTTAGAGAATATGCACTACATTGAAACAAAGCAAAAACAAAGAGATGGTTGAGCTACACAGAAGTTAGAAGAAATCACAGGGAGCTATAAACTTCAGGAGTAATTCCAACTAACCCTGATAATGTCCCACAGCCCACCCCACAATAGGACTGGACTCCTTGTGGAAGTCCACCAAAAGCTGAAGTTCTTTTTAATTTTTAAAATACTATTTATTTATTTAATTATTATTATTATCATTATTATCATTATTATTATTATTATCATTTAAATCCTTACCTGAGGATATTTTCCCATTGATTTTTTTTAAGAAAGAGTGGGAAGGGAGGGAAGAGGAGGAGGAGGAAAAGGAAGCGAGAGAGAGAGAGAGAGAGAGAGAGAGAGAGGCATTGATATAGAGAGATACATTGATTGGTTTCCTCCTACACATGCTCTGACCAGGCCCAAGGATCAAGCCTGCAACTAAGGTAGGTGCCCTTGACTGGGAATCAAACTTGTGATCCTTTGGCCCACTGGCCCACACTCTAACCATTGAGCAAAACTGGCTAGGGCAAAAACTGAATTTCTTGATTACTATTTCATGCATGTTTCATTCTGGTTTGAATAACTAAAGATGAAACAGAGTCTAAAGACAAAAACATTACTGACCATTCATTTGATATACATAATCGCATCATCCTCTAGTTAACACTGCCTCCTTTCACCCGCCCAGGATCTTTCAGAAGGTTCATTCTGTAGCTCTCTCTCAAGAATCTGTTTTCCTCAAAGACACTTCCAGGCATACCTGTTCATCATAGGCTTCATTGACAAAAGTCTCACTGCTCATTAGATTCTCCTCTTCTTGGTCATGTTCTTCACGGCTGTTCAAATTTCTTGATGAGGCTGTACTATTTCTAGAAATCAAGGAAACAAAGTCAAAAGAATTGTTCCTTGAGGTAGAGGTTGGAATTGGCAAATGTTTAAAAAGGGCCAACGTGTGCCCTAGTCACGGTTATTTTTTAAGGAATTATGCAGTTTTGATTGTCTCTTTAACAACGCAAACAACCTAGAATGGGCAACTCTTGAGTCAATTATTATTTGTTCCTAGGCATTCATTTAACTTCTGGAATGATACATGGTCTCAATTGAGGGGAACTAGGTAATGGGAGGCAATGGGTACTGAATCCAAGGACAGGTAAGTGGCACCTGGACACAAGCGGCAAGTTAATGTGGTGACAATCAGACCCCAAGGGTAGCAACTCATTCATCTTACTATTAACCATTTAGCTATTAACTAACCAGTGCTACCTTGGGCAAAAACAAGCACTTCTCCTGGCCTTTCCTTCAGTCTATAATGTGAAGGCTGGGCAGAGATGTAACTTTTACAACTTTCATCATCTCTATAGTTCTTTTTTAAAAAATATATATTTTATTGATTTTTTACAGAGAGGAAGGGAGAGGGATAGAGAGTTAGAAACATCAATGAGAGAGAAACGTCGATCAGCTGCCTCCTGCACAGCCCCTACTGGGGATGTGCCCGCAACCAAGGTACATGCCCTTGACTGGAATTGAACCTGGGACCCTTCAGTCCACAGGCCGAAGCTCTATCCACTGAGCCAAACCAGTTAGGGCTCTATATTTCTTGATACATAGGCTGTTTAATGTCTACTTATCTAATCAGTTTCTTCAGTTACTATATCTCCCTACTCTAAAGCTTATTTTGCCATCATTCCTACTCTAAATCGTGATTTTTTTTATTGTCTAAAGTTTTACATATGTCTTCTTTTACCAAAACAGTGAGAAGATACATTGCTGTTGTTTAATACCCGACTCGGTGGTATTTGTTATAGCGGCCCAAGCAAACTAATACATCTCTCCTAACAAATTCTTCCTCCAAACAATCATTGGCACCAGCTTTGCCTCATTGGTGGGGAATCTCCTCACTTTATTCAATCCTCCAGAGATTGTGCCACTGACAACTGTAGAGGCAGATGTATATGCCCCAGAAATCACTCAAAAAGATGGTCCCAATTATTATTTTTTTCAGGTCATCTAACAAGGGAGGCTGCTTCATCACCTCAAGCCTTTCTCAGAGGACAAATTTCTAGAGTGGACTCCTATCTCCAATCCCATTCATCTTATTTTAGAAGCAACTTCTTGGGAATAAAACTCTCCCATCAGGACATTAAGAGCTGCTCACCTTTTTCGTTCACGTTCTTTTCTGAAATACACAAATGCTCCCAGAGCTACCAGAACAACTGGCAAGGTGATGGTGAAGCTGAGGGCGATGTAGCCTGGACCAGGTCCACGCGCTGCCTCTTCACAGAAGTCCCCACCGTATTCCATGGGACAGCTGCATCTTCTCAGCTCTCCTTCCACGGTGCAGATTCCCCTCCCATTACAGAAATCGCTGCTACAGGGCAGATGTTTTGCCCCCTGAGGGTCCTTGGGCTGAAGAAGCTTCCCTTTTTCATTGGTTTCTGAGGTCTTGCTTTCTCTATCAGGAATCGAGGGGATCAGTGTTTTTCTGACAGGATAATCCATCTCTTCTGGACCCACATATCTAGTGTTCGGGGGCTTGGCAGCCTGGAGAGGTTGGGCAGCTTTAGGAGTCACCCTTTTTCCAGCCTCTAGCTTTCCAAGTGTTAGTGTTGAATGGGTTTTATCTGGATAGGCACCTACAAAAACAGTAGGTAGGAGTATGGGTATACACACGTATTTGTCTGTTAAGAAATATGTCAGAAGAATAAGAATTCTAAAGGACTAAACCAGATACGGTTGAATTTATAAAATCATAAATCACTACTATTACTTGGGGCCAAATAAAAAAATCTATTGAAATTTATATTAAAAACTGCATATCTTACAGCACTTAAAATGTTTGGTTTCAAGAAGAGTCTATTGACCATACCCATCTACTTTTAGATGATGGTATGTATAGGTTAGCCAAGGTAGATTCCCTCAATTACATATAGGCTAGAAAGATTTTCTTTAAAATGTAAGTATATAGCCCTAACTGGTTTGGCTCAGTGGATAGAGCATCAGCCTGTGGACTGAAGGGTCTCAGGTTTGATTCCAGTCAAAGGCATGTACCTTGGTTGCTACCACATACCCAGTAGGAGTGTGCAGGAGGCAGCTGATCGATGTTTCTCTCTCATCAATGTTTCTGACTCTCTATCCCTCTCACTTTCTCTCTCTAAAAAATCAATTAAAAAAATATATAAAATGTAAGTATATAAGTATTTAAAACTTTTTGAATTCAAGTAAACTATAGGTTTTAGCAAGATCTACAAGTCGCAACTATTGAACCAGATTCCATGGTGGTGGTAGGAGGGGCACGCATTAGGCAGGCAGTAGGCAATAGGGTGCTTCTAACCGCAGAGGAATCTGAAGTTAACTTTGTGTTTAAGGCACTTCACCATATTCTCTGTCATTGTTGGCACAGGTGTTATTCCTCATGTGAACACTAAAGACCAAAGTAAATATTAGCAATGAAACTATTCTTGCCTCTTTCTTAAGCTGGTCCACAGGCATGTTTCCACTCCCGGACAGTTTAGGGTCCCTCATGGTAAGGTATATTCAGAGAAAGCCACTCTAACTTTATGCACCCAGTACCCCCTCCAAAACAAGTTATGTAAAAGTCAGAGTGAAATCATTATTAAGGAAAAGAGTTAACTCTTGGGCCTAGGTCACCAGGGATGGGAGAGCAAGGGAAGGTATGTTAGATTTCTGGTTTGGCTTTAAAACCAGGTGATGAGGGTGATAAATGTCTCACTCACTGACACTCCCCACTCTGAGTCACTGCCTACACAGGGAGGGCAAGACCATAGAATCAACTCTTGGTCTTTGGTCTTTGTCTTTCCTAGTTAAAATGAAGTGATAAGAGGCAATAATTTATCTTCCAGCCAGTCGGGTTTTAGAAGATGAGGATTTAAATTGAGAAATAATGAGAACTGTTCCCTGTAAGATTCATTTTCCAAATCTTTTTCTTTACTAGGTATGACCAGTCTCAGTACCAAGCCCACTGCCTCTTCAATTCTATGCTATAGGACTTGGATATCACTGGAGCTGGAGCTATGGGACTAGAGGGTGGAAGTTACAAGCAGAATTAGTTATAGCTGCTCAGATGATTGGCCATGAAAACGCTGTTCCATGAAGGCACTATTTGGCACAGTATTTCTGTAACAGCCATTTACAGTTAGCATTTAAGTACTAGTATGGCAGCCGTATACACATTCTCTTGTATTCCTTAACACCTCTGTGAAGTAGAAAGTGCTATTTCCACATTAAAAAGAGGGACCCAAGACAAGACAAATAGTTTGCCTAACCAACTTCCCCTGACTATGCTTACCAAGTGATCAAAAATGTACTGAGTCAAATCTAGGTTAAATGAGTGTTCTTTCAGGCAACATACAAACTGTCTAGGCCTTTGGAGCTCCCTATCACATTACCTGTTCTAAAATCAGTACAGAGGGCACATCAGCTTTTCACAAGGGGTTCAAATCTACATCCAACTGCCCTGTAGGAAGTTTCCTATTGCTCAGTTTAAAGAGTGTACAGTGATAATGATGTAATCATTTAGAGAATAAAAGCCTAAGAAATATTGAGGAAGTAGATATTACTAAAAGTAAGCCAGTCATGGTGATGAATAGGAGCTACTCACAGCCCATTTCATCAGATGCATCCAGACAGTCAGCATGACCATCACACACTTGCTCCATGGAAATGCATTTCTGACCATCCTTACAGGTTTGTAATGGCGCAGAGCATCGGACAGCTTCAATACATCTGTTTGTGTCAGCCAAGTAGTAGCCACTGGAACATTTACAAGTCTGTCCTTCAGGGTTTGGTAAACAAATGTGGCTACATCCTCCATTGTCTTTTGAGCAGCTGTTACTACCTGTGGATCCCCAACCCCCCAAAATATACTGATTTAGATTTTTTTCAGAAGGGTCTTCTGCAAATAGACTATCAGAGTTATGGGATCCAGATATTTTCCCCACAGGATACATCTCATTAACTTAATTTCTTTTAGTCAACTAGGTACCAAGTGATTGGTGATTCCTCTTCATGGATAAGAATGGCTATAGGAACCTAGGAGTTCAGACAATGGATGGGCTTAAGAATAATTGAGGTAAACTCTGATTCATTCAAAATCCCATTGTGACTTCTCTTCTCCCCTCACACCAAGCACCCAGCATCAGAGCTAGAAGGTTCTTACAAATAAAGCTCTCTTTAGATGAAAATATGGGAGCTATGGTTTCTATGATCGGTGGTTGCTAGAGGGTGTGGGGGAATTGGGAGAGAGAGAGAGAGAGAGAGAGAGAGAGAGAGAGAGAGAGAATAGTCTGATTAAGCCAGCCATTTATAGCCTCCTATAATTCTTCAAAGCTTATATCTTATATCTAGAAGTGAGGGTTTACCTTTTAAGATATTCCAGGAATTGTGGAATAGGTATGCATGTAGTATAGATAAAACCTACTTTAAGGGTGACAGAGACCCTCCTTCTGGTTCTCAGAATTAAGCAACAGTTTATCATCGCTTTTATGATGTGACCATTTATCACACTGAAGAATTCTAAAAGGTTCATCCTGCAAAGTCAAGACTTTAGAGTTTAAGCATGACTACTAATAATATCAGCTAGAAAGGTTAGCTTTCAAAAACAAAGCAGTGGGCAGCATTCTCTTAAGACTAATGTATATACTGAATCATCCATGGTAATGGTAGGTATGATGAACTATTTGAGCTCACATTGTTGGGGTTAATCTCCACTAGGAACAGATCACTTCTCTTACTACTTCAACTAAGCTCATCATCATCCTCCCCAAAAATTCAGGCAGGCACTCCATTTCTGTCCATAGAAATGTGGAGAAAAACATCTGAGCACCACCCCCAGTTGATATTTCAAGGATTAGTTGACATCACAAGTAGATACAAGTGACAATGAGTAGAATGAAGACACCCTAGAGCTAAAAGGGATTTTTTATAATACCATAATTATCATTAACCTACAATAATAGAACTGAAAATAGCCTCAAGTGTACCAAACTCCAGTCCAATACACTTACCACTACTATGTTTCCTAAATAAGTAACAGAACTACTTATACACCACAACCAGACAGTATATAACTACATAAAGATAAGAGAATTGTGTAGATCTAAAGGAATTTGCCAGAGAAATATTTTAATGGAAAATTCAAAGATATTTCAAGGCGATAATGTAGGAGGGAGCATCCATCCCCTCCATGGGGAAATCCAGTAGACTTCAGTGCTGTTATAATCATTGCAGAATCACTTACCCTGTTGAGAAAGTTTACTGTAAACTTTTAAATCCACAATCTTCAGGTCTACTTGGAACCACCGATTTTCTGAAAGTTCTGCCTTGCTGTACCAAACTTTAGTGATTTGGGCTGGAACAAAAGCCAGTGAACAATCTTTAACAAAAGTGAAATTAAAACAACTTCCTGGGCAAAGAATATTGCTCAATGTGAAACTTCACTTGTTTGCTAAACTCCAGTTGAGGAACAACAGCTTTACAGAAGAGGTATGTATTTTTCTAAATCATGTTTCTGGGAAGAAACTTCAGATAAATAAAAGACAACATTCTATGCCTTTCTCCAAAATAAAATCAGGTGTTAATAAGCTATGTTGAGAACATTCATATATGCCCAGATATCTAAAGACAGGAAATTAGGATATATGACGCTTAGTTGCAGCCCATACAATTGATGGATAATGATTTTAAACATTGTTCTAGAACATTTCTGAAAATGGCTTCTCTGCTACAAGAGTCACCAGGGAAATCTTAAAATAGATGGTAAAGGCCTTCTCACATACCTAATAAATTAACATCTCTGGGGTAGGATCTGACAATTTGTCTTTGAAATTCTGATGTGGCCAGCCCAACTGGTCAATGGACCAGAATTGGAAAAAATAAAGAGACACATTTATTTTAAACACATAAATTGTGCATTTTCCAGTTTTAGCAAATCTAGATTCTAACCAGAAACAATATATTAGAGCACTATGATTTACGACAATCTCTCTGAATATACTAGAAATACCTTGCAAGTGTAAAATGTTCTATATTTCACCTAGTATTTTCATGTGTATTTAGTCAACTGAAACAGGTGCTGTCTTCATTTTACAGGTAAGGTGTAACAGCCACTAGCTACTAACTGACAGAGCAGTTATACAACCTAGGTCCATTTTCTGGACCAGCTCTCTCTCTACCATAACAGGTGTCCTCCAAAGCAGAGAGCCTCATACAAATGCCAGAAATCTCAGGCAGAACTGGACTATACAAAGAATAACCAAAAAAAGGTTAAAGCTCCCTCCAGTCACAGAAGCACTGTTACACGTACATGTTCTGTTAGGGACGTTGTTTGGCTCTTCTTCTAAAAGGACACCAGCAGAGATCAGTCCTAAGCAGTAGCAGATTCGCTTTAGATACACAGGAGTAAATCAGATCACAAGGACAATCAGATACAGAGTTCAGACCTACCATCATCAATTGTTGTCCAGAACATCATGCTTTGGCCATATGTAAAGAGGTTAAGGCCCTGAATTCCTTTGCGGTCTACTCTGTATCTAGAGCCATCTTGTTGAATACTTTCTATGAATCCTCTCCCTAGAAAGAGAGGTTGGGTTTATTTTATTTAGCCCAAACAGCTGTGCTCACTCCTTCAACTCTTTACATCTTGTCTTGCCTCCTCTCCAGGAGGAGACTATCTTCATCCATTCTCTGAAGGCCAATTCTTCATTCATTCATTCTACTCTAACAATGATACACAAATATTTGCTCATGCATATGTTTTAAGGTCTTGATATTATGCCTTCACAAAGGAGTTATTGCATGACTATGGGCAGTTATATGCAACTCAGGATGGGGAATGATTGTATTTGTTTAGAAAGTGGTACAGAAAATATAAACTCGGACATAAAAGCTATTTGAAGTTATTATGCCTGAAGGCCAGAAAACTGAACATTTCTACTTCACTCTGGCCAAGGTCCCTCGGACTCCCATTTAGGGTGGAGGTAATCATTACTTACCAGTATCAGCCCAGTATACTCGGGTCCCTGAGTCTGAAAAGGTCAGGCCCACTGGGACCTGGGATTTCTGCCACAGCACCTTCCTCCTGATGCCATCCATGGAGGCACAGTCGATGCTGGAACCACGCCCACCACCATCCTGGGAACCCAGATCCACAAAGCACATGATTGCAGTGGGTGGATGGAGTGCAACACAGGTTGGATGGGACAGATTGTTGCTGAACAAAACAGTGGAATACTGGCCTTTGGATGAAGCTACATTGATATGTGGGTTTTCACTGTCAATCCAATATATATTTCCACTCAACCAGTCCACAGCAAGGTTGATTACTGTCCCCTTCGCAGATAAGATTTTCCTCCAAGAAAGCTTTCCAGATTCTTTGAGCCTCAGTAGTCTGATATCACCATTACCCAACTCTGAAAGGTAGAGTGTCTTTTCCTGGACAAGGTAATCCACTGATGCCAGCTGGTTCAGATTGGTAAAGGGAAGTACCCTGTGTTCCGGTAAAGTTGCTTGTCCTAATAAAGTTTCTATGTTTTTCAGATAAATCTATGGGGGAAAAGTTAAATGGATGGTACCAGTTGAGTCTAGTCTAATCCATTACCTTGATTTTGCATTAATGTTAAATTCCTATTAAATACTTAAATCCATATTTTCAAATAGTCTATTTTCTAAAAGCAGACAGCAGTTATTTCTCTTCTTTCCTGGAGCATCAAGGACTTTAAATTCCTTGAATTTGGGTGTTTTGAAGGTTTACTCCTCTGTTAAAGACCCTCCCCTTTAAGTGAGCTTTGACTATTAAGATCTTAAGGGACCTAAAATCTATCCTCCACCCCAAAATTTCTGTTTTGTTTTTTAAATGCCAAGTCCTCTAGATATTAAAAGTTAGGGGTGACTTGCTTGTCACTACCTTTTATCTCCTTACGGCTTAAGAAAAGTTCCCTCACAAAATGTATTTGCCTCCACCTCCAGATTAGGATGGAGCCAAGCTGTTTGTATTTGGAATCTACATCATTATCCAGGTGCTTGGACAACTTAACAAAATTGTCTAAACTAAATTAAACTAATCTCACTGTGTTCTGATGTACTAAGTATTTCCTAAATGATTTTAAGTAGAACTTGTTCTTATTTCATATCTACTTTATTTTGGTCATGATAGTTCCCAGCACACAGTGGATACTAAAATTTAAGTCATGTGGGAAGAATATTCCAAGGGAAAGAGCTCCTATTGTTTATAACTGCACATGAAGAATTCAGATTACTCAGCCTGAAACAGAATGTAGCCCAAGCACAGACACATGAGGACGCCTGTGGACAATACCTGTATGATAACCGTGGGCAACACAAGGAACAGAAAGGCAGACTCCTTGACAGGGACACAGTTGATGCCATCATCTGCAAGCAGGAGTCCGACGGGGCAATGACAGCTTCCCTTGGATTGTGGGCTCAGAAGGCACAAGTGAGAACATCCAGTGTCCAGACAAGGATTAGAAGACCTAGGCTGTAGGACTTCGTGCATTATCTGGAAGAAAACATCTAGATGTCAGTATACCTTACTGAATCCTTGGAAATAGCAGGCGAATAAATCTTCCCTTTTAATCATTATAGAGGGATGTCACTCCAGTTTGTACTTTGGGCAGTTCACATATGTAGCCTTTTCAGGGAGAATGAGGGGGATACTTTGAAGAGTACATTATAGACCTTGAGTCCATAAGGCTGTTCAATACGCTTGATGAGGACAGCCCTGCTCTTGCCTGTCATCTTCTTCATACGCTGTACTGTTCTTGTCTTTGTTTCAGACCAGAAGACTTCATCCTCCAATACAGCAACTGAAAAGGGGCTCTTGATCTGTGTTAACTGCAACATCTAAAATGGGGAAGGTGAGGTTTCTGGGATGAGTTTTACACAAGGCACATGACATTTTGTACAAATCTAATACCAAAACAACACTTACGCTAATCCCAGTGCCATCTAGATTGGCAGAGCCAATACAGTGAAATTTGTCATCAGACCAGAATATCTTCCAACTCAACTGGTCAAGAACTATGCTGGTTGGCCAGCCAAGACCTTTATTGATGAGTACTTTTCTCCTGCTACCATCCATCCCAGCTTGTTCTATGTGAGGTTCTCCTCCAATTTCAGACCAGTACATCAACCTATGTGAATAAAAGTCAGCTTTGGGATAAAGTACTACCTCAGAGAAAATAACATCAATTCATCCCTTAAAACAGTGATTTGAAGCCCAATTAATTTTTCTTCAGATGTTAACTTGGTCTATTCCTTAAGCAAAATTGTAAAATAGTAAAAGGTTTTCTTGATATTTTATGGTGATTGTTTAGTCCTCATTTGTGGGTAAAATATCTTGATAGTTGAGTAAGAAGGCTAGGAATACATTAGTCCCTAAGCCACGGAAAATATTCAGGAAACCTGACAATCTTTTGTGGGCTGGAAAGTATGCTAGCTCCATGGGCAGACATGTGCCGCAGACCTTATTCTTGGCCACAAGCCATTAGCTGCATCAAAACCACTGTCATTTCGCTGAGGACCATATTAACAGATTCCTGGTTGAAGATATTGAAAAGGTGAGAAAAACAGGAAGGATACCCAGTCTGGGTTCCCTTTGAATCCTGAGTTTTATTCTGTCTTATTTTTTATTTTTAAATACATTTTTATTGGCTTCAGAGAGGAAGGGAGAGGGAGAGGGAAATAGAAACATCAATGATGAGCCCTAGCCGATTTGGCTCAGTTGTTAGAGCATCAGGATCCTGGGATCAATTCTGGTCAAGACCATGTACCTCAGTTGCAGGCTCGATCCGCGCCATGGTGAGGCTTTGTGTATCAATCAAATGATGTGTCTCTCTCACATCAATGTTTCTCTCTCTGTCCCCCTCCTTTCCACTCCCTAAAAATTAATGGAAAAATATCCTTGGGGAAGGATTAACAAAACAAAACAAAAAAGAAACATCAATGATGAGAGATAATTATTGATTGGCTGCCTCCTGCATGCCCCCTACTGGTGATCAAGCTTGCAACCTTGGGCATATGCCCTGACAGGGAATTGAACTGCAATCTCTTGGTTCATAGATCAATGCTTAGCCACTGAGCCACACTAGCCCAGCTATTTATATACATATATATACACATACACACACACATTAGAGGCCCGGTGCACAAAATTCATGCACTGGTAGGATCCCTAGGCCTGGCTGGCAATCAGGGCCTATCGGGGCCTTCCAGCTGCTGGCTGGGGCCTTCCTTCATTCCACATTGCTCCCTGGTGGTCAGCACACGTCATAGTGAGCGATTGAATTCCCGGTCTCTGGTTGAACTCCCGAGGGGACACTTTGCATATTAACTATATATATATCCATCCCAATGAGGGCTTGGCTCTGCCAAGTAGGAAGTGTTTCTAAGTTCCCAGAGAAAGGACACTAGATGAAGAACCCAGGTTTAATTCCAAGATACAATTATCTTGCCTCCCAACCCCAAGCACATTATTATAAATTAAATACTATATCTAGTTCCATTCTCCATCCCCCTGCAATTTTAGAACCATAAAAATTCTCTATTCAGAGGTATATTTGCTTATTTTGGCAAAAGAAAGTATAGGTGGACTACCAAGTGAACAACTTACAGCTCACTTTACTGAGATAAAGGGCTTCCTCCAGAAGCTTTCAAAATTACTATGTGTGGTTGATCTACATCACCATACAATATAAAGTCAGAAAAGGTTTCTTCAGTTCACTTGTTCTGTGGTGAGTGAACACAACCAAAGAAGAACTAAGGGGGAATAACACACTTAAAGGACTTGACCAGACACTGTTATGCCTGGACTCACCCATTTAAGGGATCTAAAGCCAAAGACCGTGGCTGATTTAAGTTATCACCCAGGACAATTGTGTATTCAGGTTTTCCTCGCCACACAGCAGTCAACTGAATTGCCAAAATCTGGCCAGCTGTGCCATCTGTCCAGTAGAGATTCCTCCCAATCCAATCGACCACCATACAGTCTGACTTGATTCCTAAAGAGAGGAAACCATTCAACATGTGTACTTAGGTTAAATTATAGCTCTTAACTAGCTTTTAGCTCATAGGCATCAGACTAGCATGCCATGTTAATTAATTTTTCAACTGGCATATGCATTTCCATCAAAACAGTCTTCTTAAAAATGCTCCAAAGTACTATTTGTAGAGGAAGATGACCATTGCTCAGATTGGTCACTGGCTGATAGTGTGGCTTACTCCCCAGTCTACTGAGATGACAATGCATCTTTCCATTTCAACCAACTAGCAAGCCTTGACCCCTTTTAATTGAGGAGATACAACTAAGCCAATGTTTAGAACATTAATGGCCACTCATTTTGTTTCCCATGCCATGTGTATTTAGTAAGGGCAGGGGGCATACCTTTTACTACAGTCCCTTTCTTCTTTGCGTCCATGCTTATCCACTTAATACTTTCTGCACCGAGCTCTGTCCAGAAGACTTTCTGATCCAGTAAGTCATAGTCAATAGAGAAAATAACCAGGTTCTTCTCTGTAGCTGCCAGAATATCTTCTTTCAAGCTCCTTAGTCCATAGAGAAGCAGGTTAAACTGAATGGCCACAAGCAGGATCGGTTCAGTACCTGTTGAATAAGAACTGCTTTCAGTGTGGTTTTAAGGAGTTGGAACAGTAAGCCCCAGCACTGGCTAAGGAATCAGAGGACAAAGTAGCCTTTGCCTTCTCATCACCAGGGCTGTGATACCAGCCATCTGGTATCTAAGTAGCTGTTCCCTTGATGTAATGGCTAAGCTGATACCCACATTTGAAGATACTTAGAATAAAGGGGTAGTTGGCTTAAGTTGAAAACCACATTTCTAACTAAATATTTGGAGGTAGGTGGGCAGGAAAGAAGTGTTTGTTAGGACTTCAGACACTTATTCTAGCTTCAGGTAAGGCTGACTCATGGGTACAAGGCCACACTTATGGTTTTGTTATAATAATGCCTTATTGGTAGACTCTTTGAAACTTAAATTCAGTCTGAAATATGAGGTTTTAAAAGAGTGTTTTAAGATTCTGCTAATCTTGCTCTAAAGACAGACAAAGCTGCCAGGAGCATTTAAGACCTGATAAGGAGCTTTGTATTGGTATTCCTGGAAGATTTAGGACCTTGAAGCTTGTGACCCAGCCTAGAGATATTCCCAGTTCCAGTTAACCTGTTGCTTTACAGGTGTGGCCATCTGGCTCCAGCAAGTAGCCAGGATGACAGGTACAGTGGTAGGAGCCCTCGGTATTGATACAGGTCTGACTGCAAGGCCGACCACCCGACCTCTGGCACTCATCCACATCCTCACAGCTTCCACCGCTGCTCTTCAGCTCGAAGCCTTGCTCACAAGCACATATCTGAAAGAGGTTGACGAAAGCATTACGACTTTCCGAAGACAGTACAACATTGATAAAAAGGCTTCGATCTTGCTATAAAAAGCACGTGGCAATACATTCAATGTCAGCAACTCAAATGGCTCTTAGGACCAACTTTATTTTGAATACAATCACTCTCTTCTTCCTATAAGCCCTGCCACACACCTCACACCTTGCCACCACCATGGGTTCTGAGCTAACAAGGTGTCCGAGTTCAGCACAGGACAGCTAGAACCCAGCACAATCAGAGAGTGAAGAGGCATGCCGACCTGACTGAAGTGGCCATCTCCCACGACCAGGCACGAGAACTCAGCTTTCTTCTACTTGCCCATCAGAATCAAGGTCACTATATTCGGCCAACTAATAATGCTAGACGAGAGCATGGGCACTTCTTAATTTGAGGGCAGGTCGCATTCCATCGGACTCACATGGAAAGAACTTCTGTATGGGTAGGTACTCCCCTTCCCCAGCTGCAGCACGAAGGGATGGTTACTTGGCTCTTTGGACAACCACAGAAACGTCTTGCTTAGCCCCAAGTGTGGCCCCGAGCTCACAGTTGGGGTGGGAAGGACCGTGGTGGTAGAGTTTGGGGAGGCTGCCTGGTAGGGTTGCAGAAATCACCAGACAGGAAAGGAAGGAGACAGGACTCACCAGGAGCCCAGAATAGCTCAGGCACAGGGACACCGGTGGGTGGGTCAGCACCGCTCTGCCACTGAGACGGAGAGCTTAGGGAGCGGTCAGGGACAGCCTTCCCTAGAGTCTAGGGGCCTAGACCACGTTTGGAGCTGCTGGGAACATAACTGGCGCACTCACAGGGCCTCGGGGGGACGGGTAGCAGGTGTGGGAGCACTGTGCTTGGCCGCATGCTGACGCGGAGCACTGTCCACCTTCGTCCGAGCCGTCGGCACAGTCCTCCTTCCCATCACACACCAGGCTGAGGTGGAGGCAGGCAGAGGAGCGACACTGGAACTCAGAACTCCCGCACTTCTCCGGGGCGCCTGCAGAGGATGATGCCCGGCCGTAATGGTCAAACCCACAAACACCCACCCCTCCCCTGGCCACGCTTCCCTGCGCGCAGGAGGCCTCCATTCTGGGGAAGGAAGGTTCCAGGTCCTGCAGCAGGGGCTAGCTAGCTGCTTTCTCACAGCAGCACGAGCGGCTGCCATCCGCCTCGCCCTGTCCTTCAGTGAGAGCCCCGCACTTACACGCAGCCTCGTCACTGCCATCCCTGCAGTCACGCTGCCCGTCGCAGCGCCAGGAGTCCGGCATGCACTGGTCTGCACTGGCACAGGACCACTGCCTGGAGCCGCACCGCAGCTCCTCGGGGTGACAGTTCTGTGGAGACAGAGAGGGACGCAGTGTCACTGGCAATCAGCACCGGGCAGGGGTTCTCGGAGGAAGACGCCTGCGTTTGGGGGCCAATCCTCAAGGCCCTTCTGCAACAGGCTGGGCAGAGCCTACACACTCGGTGAAACGCCGGCTGGAGTTTAGGCGAGGAGCTCACAGATAGGAGTGGGAAGTGGGAAGAAAAGTCTGTTTTGGCAAATTAGAAAGTCTTCATTCAAGAGGCATAAGCAAAAGAGTCCACGGAAGCTCTCCTCCGGGAGTCCTCCCACCGCGCCTAATGCACAGCCCAGCTTGCTGATCGTTGTTTTGCACCTAATTAACTTGGATACTCAGGTCTGGGGCAGGATGTGCAAGAGGAAGGGAGGGACATCTGTGACCCTGCTATGCCCCAGATCCATGCTCAATCCTTCGGACACTACAAGGCATATCTTATACCCATTTTACTGATGAGGAAATACAACATGAGGGAGTAAGTACTTCCTTAAGGTCAAGTGCACGCTGTAGGAGTCAAGCCCAGGTTGCCTCACGCACAGATTAGGAGCTTTAGTTGCTCCATCATGCCCACTGAGCAAACCTTCAGAGTGCACCTCTGAGTGGGACACCAAGACCTAACACTTGCAAATGTATAATAAAAAGCCTCTTGGAAATTTGACTTTCAACAGGAGGATGTTAACACTTTGGATTTGGACACTTTGGCGTAGCTACAAGTGGCTTTCTGTCTAGTTATCATGGTGGACCTCTCTGTTTTTGTGTTTTCCCAAGTTTCCTACAGGGAAGCCTGTGTTCCTGTTGTGATGAGAAATCCATTTTATCTTTCTGGAAGAAAAGCGACTACCTTCTCATCGCTTCCATCTTTGCAGTCTAAGTCATGGTCACATATCCACTCTGTCAGCACACATTCTCCACTCCTTGGGCACTTCACCTCCCCCGAGGGGCACTGCTGGGGCCAGGCAACAGGACAGCCCTCTTCATCCGAGCGGTCCAGGCAGTCTCGGTTCCCATCACAGTGCAGAGAGTAAGATATGCATTGGCCGTTTTTGCATCTAAATTCAGATATGCTGCATTTTTCATGAACTGAAAAATAAAAGCTTTAGGTAAGAACTCAACAAGATGTAGAAGTGACTTGATGGAAAATAAAATGGTTTAAAGACTTCCCGGTCTTCTCCTGTCGTCTTGGGAACAAAGCCCCAGCAGGTGTTAGGGCAGACAGGTGGTTTGAGTAGTGTTAGGCCAGACAAGGGCTACTAAACTGGCCCAGAAAATCCTTCTGTCCTGGGGAACAATGGCAGAGGGCCAGAAATGGAAGGACACTGGGATAGGAAGGAAAGTGGAATCCTCCTCTGGGGCCTTAATGTCATCCATGAAAAAAGAAATTCCCTCCCAATATCCAACACACCCTATAATTTATGTTCTTAGATTCAAATTCTATAGACAGAAGTTGCTTGACTTGGTTCAAGAAAAAGGATCAGTACCTCAGCAAAACTGTAAGTATGTATTAAAAAGTAAATTATACCTTGGATGCCTCCCTACTTCCTTTCTGTGTCTCTGTCCTCCTTATATTCTTACTAAGGGCCTGATGCATGAATTTGTGTGCGGGTACGGTCCCTAGGCCTGGCCTGTGATCAGGGCCATCTTCCCCGGCTGCCCACAGCCAGCCCCACGCCCCGCTGACACCCACCCCCGGTTCTCCGTTCGCCATCAGGCAATGGGAGCCTGCTGGCTGGGGGGAGGGACCAAGAGGGCAGCCATTCTGCCCACTCCCTGGCCCTGCCCCTGAACCCCAGTTTCCTGTTTGCCATTGGGCAATTGGAGCCTGCCGGCTTGGGAAAAACCAAGAGGTGGTCAGTGCACCTCATAGTGACTGGCCATCTGAGGCTTGCCTGCACCTCAGGCCGGCCCTGGGTGACTGGGGGATTGAGGAGACTGGGGGACTTTAGAGGCAGGCGCCCCAGCGGGGCTGAGGGGACTGGGCACCACCATCTTGTGGCTGTGGACACTGCCATATTTGAGGGTGGGACAGTCAATTAGCATATCCCCTTCTTATTGGCTGTGGGTGCCGCCATCTTTTTGCTATGGTGTGAGGGTCAATTAGCATATTACCCTTTTATTATATAGGACAAGCCCAAGTGCAGTCAAATCCTCTAGGTACCCAGCTGCCTCCACATCCAAATATATCATCTTCCATTACCCACTCTCTACATTCTCTCTTCTACCCTAATCCAACATGCAATTAAGGCCTTTGAAACATGCCATTAAGAAGAACAAATATAAAGATTGTGTATCTCATACAAATGAGGGGAACAAATGAGATGGCCCATCCCAAAGGAAGATGTAGGACCAAAGTTAAAATCTTCAGGGAGGGTGATTTTATTGCAACAAGAAATAATACTTTATTTTGGTAGTAGACTGGATTTCTATTAATGGAAATCTTATCATGGAAAAAGGAAGTTATAGCATGACCTTCAAGGATCCTCTCACTCAGAAACTTTCATCTTAGCCTGGTAACTGTGTAATAACTATAATTGATCTTTATTACTTGTGGATTCAGTGTTTGCACATTTACCCCTTTGCTTAAATTTACTTGTGAACCCCCAAAAGCAACATTGCCACACTTTCATGGTCATTTGCTGAGATACAGCAAAGCAGAAAAAAAAAATTTGACTTGTCCGACACATGCATTTCAGCTGAGGTGGAGGAAGGCAATGCTCTACCTTCTGGTTTCATTTTCCATACTGTGCATAAGTGTGCTATTTTCAGTCTCTTTAGGGCCATGATTTTCACATTTTTAGACTTTTTGATGATTTTGCTCTGATTTTGGTGATAATTGCCCCCAGCAAAGTGCTGAAGTTCAGGTAGTGTTCATAAGTGCAAGGAGTCAGTCTTGGTTGCCTTATGGATAAATTATGTGTTAGATGAGCTTTGCCCAGGCATGAGATACAGTGCTGGTGGCTGTGATTTCAATATTAATGAGCCAACAATGTATATAAAGTTGCCTTTAAACAGAAACACATAAAACAAGGTTGTTTATTGATTGGTTGACCAACATATGACCAGAGACTTGTAAAAACCACACTCTCTATTTTTTTCTGAGAGCAATGATTCCATATCCACTAATTCAGTGTCCACAGCAACTTTATAGAATCTAACTACCAGGAATAAGGAAAATCAACTGAAATGTAGCTTAAAATACTCCAAGGAAGTTTCCTGGAACTTACTACAGCCTTGTTCATCTTCTTTGTCAGAACAGTCTGCATTGCCATCACACAGCCAGCTCTTAGGGACACAGCGGGTCTTGTTGTCACAACGTACAGAGCAGTCTTCAGTGGGCTTCCAGCAGTCCAGCTCATCAGACCCATCCACGCACTGCTGAGCCCCATCGCAGTGGTACTTCTCCTCAAGGCACTTGCTTCCGTCCAGACACTGGAAGATCCCTTAATGGAAAGGGTCAAGAGCTAGCACCACTCAGTCAAACTGAAGTTTTAAAATTAGATGAACTCACCCTCATTCTGGATTTAGAAGGATAAATAGACCACGTCTTACTTGAACTCTATACCTCAGGTGATCCATAAACAAACTTTAATAAAGTGCTCTGGTCAATTAAGTTAGCAAGCCAGCCTGGGCTGCTTAAATATGGCCTCATATTTGTTGCATTATTTTAATGACTTGTTATAACACTACCAAGTGGTCCATTTAGGGCACTCTATAGTTCAGCCTATATTAAGACAAATATTGGAACACTCAAGCAAAGCTGAGGAAGCAAAGAAGCAGTGGAAGCTCACAGAATCAGTATTCAAACAGTCTATAACTTTTATCTATGATAATTTATCTAGCAAGTGTCTCTCTCTCTCTCCATATATATATATGTATATATATATATATATACATATATATATATAATATGCAAATGACTGAACATTGGAACAACCGAACAACCGAACAACCAGTCACTATGACGTGCGCTGACCACCAGGAGGCGCACGCAGAACATGGCAAGCATTGGCCACAAGAGGATAATGGATCAGGTGAGTAGGGGTGCCAGACCAAGGAAGGGCACCAGTCACTGTCATCAGGGCAAGCCTCTGATAGTTACTGAAAATTCTTTGCTCCTGTGTGTCGTGGTCCCACCCAGCAGGTGCGAGCTGTGGCTGCCTGCCCCAATCACCCCTCAGGGCTTCTCCACCTCCCCCTGCTCCTGAGGGGCGATCAGGGCAGCAGCTGCTACTCTCAACTGCTGCTGGCGCCAGCTCCAATTGCTCCACACCATCAGTGGGTGCAAGCGGGGCCAGCAGCAGTGGGAGCAGGATTGCCAGCAGAGAGGGGACTAAGGGCTGCAGTGGGAGAGACCAGGCGGGGGCATGGAGGATGGGCAGAGACCTGCCTCTGTGCCCTCAGCAGCCTCGCGGCCCACAGTTCTTTTCAAGGTGAACAAATTCATGCACTGGGCCCCTAGTGATTATAATAAACAGCTCGGCAATTCATATCATACTTTTGCTCAGTGTACCTGCAACAAAAGACTGAGAAGAGGAGATGATGACAGACCTGGTCTGTTGCACAAATGGGAACAGTTCTCTTCATCGGAGCCATCCTGACAGTCACGCTCGCCATCGCAGAGGTACTCCCGAGAAATGCATTCCTTCCCGTTCCGACAGGGAACAGAGGATCGGGTGCAAAGTAGAGGGCGTGGTGGAGGAAGAGTAGAAGGGGTGATTGTGGCTGCTCCTTCAACCCCGGGATCTAGAATAAGCAGTTGCTTCAGCAAGTCAGTCTATTAGACTTTAGCAATGGAGATGGGCTTTTGCTGTCCTCTCCTTCAGAAAACCAGGTCATGGCTGGGTAGCTATGCCTTTCTGCCTCATAGGAAGAAAAGTGAAACCGAGCCTAGATCTTTAGATTAAGTGTGGAACATTCGCCCATCATCTATTGGCTTTGAATTTGGACCAATTGTTTTCCACTTTCAGGTCTATTAACTTTAACCTTAATTGTTTTTCACCATCTAATGCTATATTCTGGGAACAAAATATAAAGTAAGTTCTATGATGGGGACTTGTTCTTTTTGGTTCCCTGCTATACCATCTGTGGTCTAGGACAGGAGCCAGTGTAACACGGACACTCATTTGTTGAGATGTGTAAGTTACACTATGCAAAATTACCAATTCATACTCTTCAGCACCTATCACAGAAACCCAACAGATTTCACAGTAGACTAATCAAAATTGGATTTGTTACCAAAAAGTTAACTGTTCATTGACACACTTTACCACCTCAGAGATATGTTCATGTGCCTAATGCTTCTTATTAAGATCAGGTTAAACGAACCAACGAATCAAAATGTAAAATAGTTTAGACAAAAGAGGGAGATGAGAGATCTTGTGGATTGGGTACATGAAAGAGAAATGCTTCTGTCCCTTTTCATTTCTACTCCTCCTTCGGACTTCTAGCTGCTCTGTCAACAGAGCCCCCAGGCTCCTGTGATAGGATTTCTTCTTCTGCCTCAAGATTCAAGATCCAAGATCAGTCTTTTGGATTCTGTGTCCAAGGCTCACATGAGGAAACAAAGGTGACCCGGCCTTAGGCAGGTCACCCTGAATGACTAGGTGCAGCTTCCACAGAAGGTGAGTGCTGCTTTTGTTGGTAATCCACAACCGCAGGGCAGCTTCGCATGGGTTCTCCACAAGACGTTACCACTATAGAGAGGGGGGGCTCCTTAGTAAAATCAGTTTGGGAAACTGCTTTAGAGAAAATTCAATGGTTGTCCTTCCTGCCAGACTAAGAGCTCTAATATGCTAATGTGCAAGATGATTCTCAGAAGGGGCTGTGGTGTGCAGACTTCTCCAAATATCGTCCCAGGACTTGTGTCATTTAGCAACTTTGAGAACCATCTTAGATCCTTACTCTCCTGGGACACGGACAAGTTAAGGAGAAGGCTTGCTGAATTGGGGGTTGGGACAAGAGCCATACAAACCTAAAGATGCCCAGGATTTTATCCTATAAAAACACTCTGGCCCAGCCAGATGGCTCTGTGGTTGACCATTGACCTATGAACCAGGAAGTCACAGTTCGATTCCCAGGCAGGGCAAATGCCCAGGTTGTGAGCTCGATCCCCAGTAGGGGGTGTGCAGGAGGCAGCCTATCAATGATTCCCTCTCATCATTGATGTTTCTCTCTCTTTCTCCCTCTCCCTTCCTCTCGGAAATCAATAAACATATATTTTTAAAAAGCACACACTCTGAGAAGAGCCAGGTAAAGTGGATCTCATAGAATAACCTCACAGAGGAAGACTCACCTGGGACCTCCTGGTTCTCTGCCAGGATGATTATTTTCTTTACGTGTGGCTCTTTGGACACAGAGAAGGGCTCCAGCGTCTTCCTGTTCCAGAGCACAAGCGCTGCTCCATCCATCGTCACCAGGTAGGGCTCATGGGCAGCAATAATGCCGTCACTCCAGGTCTTGTTCAAAGTATATGTCCTATTTTTTAGGAGACTTAGACTTTGCAACCCTAGGGAAGAGTCGAGTTCTTACAAGCTGATATAGCACAAATAACCTGTGGGGCATGATTTGATTGAGGTTCCGTGACCCCAAACTGAAAATAAGCACAGATTCTTCCTATTAAGCTTTGTTGGTTCATAGTTAAAGATGGTCCAACAAAGTGTTTAAAGCTCCAGGAGAGAGAGCAGTGTAGGTCTGCCATGTGGGCACATCAGATGGGACTTCATCATCTTCCATGTGTGCACTCAACCACGGGTCATCAGCATGCAGCTTCCAGGCCTCGCAGATGGCTTTTCAGTGGGAAGACTATTAAACTTGGCTACACGGTGTAACTTGTACCTGTTACCAAGTTGTAACTGAAGCACCTGCATTTCATTTGCAATGGAAGTTTGGTTCCATTACTTCTTATAGAAATAGAAACAAATTTTGAAAACTGCAAAAAGCTATTAAGTATGCTTTTATGGAGTTTTCTTTTTTTAAATCCTAAGTCTGGACTTATAGGTGAGAAATAAGTTTGATGTAAGTGACTCATATCCAATCTTTGACTATGAAAATCAGAATCTGAGCTTATAGTTTAGCTAGTTCTAAGAATAACTGGAATAATCCTACTGAAAGCAAGATCTCACTCATCCCCTCGAGCTTCTTCCAACTGCACTGGTTGTGTGGTGCTTACCTTGTTCTTTGGTGGTCCAGAGGATGCTGGATGAGCCGAGGTCTAAGGTCATTTGAGTGTCCGCCATCCAGGTGCCTCTCCAGACTTCCTGTCTGTTTTTGCCATCAAGGGTCATACTTTGCAAGTGTTTTCCACTTTCTACCCAGTAGAGGACCCTCCTTGGCCAATCGAGAAGAAGATGAAGTATAATGCTGCTCGTTCTGTAGAGAGTCTGTGTGTGAGGGCCAGTAATTCTAGTCTTCTGAATAATACTTCTATCACAGGGCAGCCAGAACAAGTTCCCAGTTGATATGTCCACATTTGCTGAGCAGACTGTAAGGAGGAAAATAAGTCCAATTAAAAAGGGCACTCAAATGTCGTTTCTTAAGTTTTGGGTCAAGGATAGAATGGTGCAAAGACCATTCTCTAACAAGCCTCACACCGTGTTTGTGTGATTACTTCCCATCACACCTACTCTGGTTCCAACATCATGTCTGTCATCTGAGCTCATTTAATCCTACAACCACCTGGCACGGTACGATGCTCATTGCATTTTATAAGTTAGATATCTAAGTGGCAAGGCTTGCATTTGAATGCAGAGCTGCAACTTCACATTCCTTCTTCTTCAAAGGTTAGTTATGAAAAGTAATAAATACATGACTAGCCCTAACCGGTTTGGCTCAGTGGATAGAGCATCGGCCTGTGGACTCAAGGGTCCCAGGTTCGATTCCAGTCAAGGGCATGTACCTTGGTTGCTGGCACATCCCCAGTGGGGAGTGTGCAGGAGGCAGCTGATCAGTGTTTCTCTCTCACCGATGTTTCTAACTCTCTATCCTTCTCCCTTCCTTTCTGTAAAAAATCAATAAAATATATTTTAAAAAATTACATGACAAGTGACTAGGACTGAAATTGCTATAGAAAAGCAGAAATTGAGCTAATATGACACCACGACAATAGTATATAAGGTCATCGGTACAAAGGATGGAGAGCAAGGAAATCTACAACTAGAAGGCACAGATCAGATAAGGGCCAAGTTTATAAAAGTTATGAAGTGTTGCTTTTTAGGTGTGACTAACAGAGTTAAGCACTAATCTACAAAGCACTCCCCAACTCCTACCCTAACCAATGTAGCTAGCTGTACAGTAGGGTCTAAGCTAGATATCACCACTGTGGGATGCAGGATAGCATAAAAGTTAAGTTCAGTATTAGGCTAGCAAGTTAGACAGTCTTGTTTGAAACACTGTTCCAAAATAAGGCATCAGTTAATTTTTGTGCCTCAGTTTCCACAAATGTATGATAGCAACAGTGCTTCTCTCATAAAGCTGTTAGGAGGATTAGAGTTAAGATATATGAAAAACTTAGAATAATGTCCATTATCTTGAGAACAGTGTGCTGGGACTAGCTTGCACAAACTCGTAACAGCCAGTTGATAAATTCTTGAATTCTGTAAGCTTGTTGTTCAATACAGCCATTATTAAAAAGTAAATTAATCATATTTGAAACATGCCAGGGTCTTTCCAGAGCTAGGGTTCAGGGAGCTGGAGGAGGGCTGTGTATAAATGAATAAGGCTAGACAAGAAATACAAATTTGAATGGCATTTTGAGGGAGCTGGGGGAGGCTTAGCTCCAGTGACTAAGCTCTCTGAATGTCTGGACCCACAGCTTTTTATTCACACATTTTGCCCTTTAGCAAAGCAGATATACATATCAAAGGTAAGGTCCAGTAAACAATAATGGATCATCAGGTTGGGGGAATTGCCTTCAGCTGTTCCAGCAGCAGGTAATAACATGCAGACTTTCAGCTCTGCTGAAAGAGTCCATTCAACCTTTTGAGGACTTCTCAAATTTATTATGACATGCTGGACTTAGCCTCCAGCAGAAACAAAACTAAAATATGTAAGCCATTGCTTAATTATTTTCTAACAGATTACCTAAGCTCTTAGTTATTGGCACCTATTGCATCTGTATGGTGGAAATACTACAGAAAGGTCTGTTACTGCACATCCCCTCCCAGCTCCAGGTTTAGTGATGTCACATATGTAGTAAAATCTGGCATTGTGGGAGTTTTTATACCACAGAGACTGGCAAAGCCTACACACTGGAGTTTGATTTGGGTTTTGTTTTCTAAACCAGATACTGGCAAACAGTGGTCCTTATTGTCTGAATCAGCTTATTGTCTGAATGTTTCAGTGGAATGTGGCCATGGCTATTCACACACACACTGTCTATGCCTGCTTTGGCGACACAATGGTGGAGTGCCCTACAGGCCTGAAATGTTTACTATCTGCCTTTTACAGAAAGAGGTTGACAACTCCTGGTCAAGACTTAAAATGACAGAGAAGAATGTTAATATTTAAGATTAAATTTATATGTGCCATTACATTTTTACATACCACAAAAAATAAGGAAATATATTTTTCTAGTATTTGAAAATTGTTATTCAGTTCTGCAAATAAGTCACTTGTCCATTGATGAACTAACTCCAACTAGTCTCCATTGCTTCACTTTCATCTCATTTTTGGAAACAAGTATCAAGCAACAAAACCATTCACATTCAGACTACAGTCACTCAATAATGCATCAGAAGTCAAGCTTTTATTCATAGTTGGATTTTGTTAAATTTTGATTGAACTGCAACCAGAGATTGGCTAAGATCCAAGAATTCAGAATAAGAAAGCAATCTATGAAAATTAGTTGGCTATATAAAAGTTAAAATAAAGAATGTCCTATATCTCATTGTTTGTAAGTTGTATTGCATATTCTTTTTAATGGTAAGCTTTATTATAAACATATGTAGGTCTATATATATATATATACACTTTTTCTCCCTAGAGAGCTAGTTGTTAAATATATCCCAGCACACTCTGGGTGTTTATTAAGAATTCAAATGTTAACTAACAGGAAGTTGACAAATAGGCAAGGCATGGTAGCAGGGCATGGGCAATAGAGAAGTCAGTGCTCACAGGCCATAATGTGCTGTAAGTTCTTCCTGCTTAGCATGACAGCATGTCTTTATTGTCCCTCACGTTTGCCTAGAATTGTGCTTCTGAATTTTCCCCATATTCCTCAAGTCATTCTTGCCCAGGAAAGACTTGACTTAAGGTTGACACATTAGTAAGAACAGACAGGCCACACTTGGTGAAGCTTTTCTCTTCTTTGTTGGGCTCTGCCATCTGCAGAGAACATGTCCTCTCTCTGGAATTAGATTTAACCTTGGTTCCACTCACATCCAAGGTTGAAAATCCAGTGTCAGTCACAGAATGTTCTTTGAGCAATTCTACACAGGTCTTAAAGACATGCATCCTTGTCTAAAACAGAATTTTGAAGTCCTCCCATTTTTTATTAGGAATTTCACCAGTGTTTTCCAGCCTCAATGTTCCATATGAGAACAAGATTAACACGACATGGATGTCAGTACACTTTGATGTAAGGAGACACTGAAAGCTGATGTTCTGTGGGTTGTAAGGGGGCCCTGAGATCTGTAAGCAGGCCTAGATAGCAAGGGTTGAGCTGATTACCACCTTTAAGAGGCCTGCCTAGCTTTGTCAAGCTGTTCACCCAATTTGTGTCTCTTACTTTCCCACAATTCTTCTGGCACCACACATGTGGGATTATTCCCCCACACCATGCGATTCTGTAACACGAGCTGGGTGTCCCACAATTCAATTCAGTTCTGACAGCATCTCTCTGGAGTAGCATCAGATCCCACAGGTGAAGACTCAGTCCCACAAGACTTCCCCCATTTCAGAGGCCACTCACAAGTCTCAGGTTGTCACCTATACTCTGACTGTCTAGCTGTAAATCAGGGTTCCCACAAACCCCTCTGGGATTCAATAATTTGATACAGTGGCTCAGAGAACTCAGAAAAACACTTACATTTGCTGGTTTATTATATAAAGGATACACATAAACAGCTACATGAAGGGATATATGGGAACGTCCAGAGGCCAAGCTCAGGAACATCTGTCCCCAGGCCGCTGGGCTGTGCCACCCTCACTGCACATAAAGGTGTTCTCAGTTCAGAAGTTCTTTGAACCCCATACTTTGGGGATTTTTATGGAGTCTTCATTACATTTGTGTGATTGATTATTAACTCTATTTCTAGCCCTGCTCCCTCTCCTGAGAATGAGGAGTGGGGCTGAAAATTCCAAGCTTCTAATCTTGGCTTGTTCTTTGTGATGACCAACCCTCATCCAGGAGCCACCAAGAATTGCCCAGCAAATTCCAAGGGATTTGGGAGCTCTGTGTCAGATGCTCCTATCACTCGAGGAATTAAAAGGTCTAAGGAGCTCTGTTCCAGAAACTCGGGGCAAAGACATCTATATGTATAAAAGCCTAAGCGACCAGAATGACCAGAACGACCAGAATGACTGGTCACTATGATGTGCACTCAACACAGGATCTGTCCCCTGGTGGTCAGTGCACTCCCACAGCCAATCTCCCCCAGCCAGCCAACCTCCCATAGTCCCTCCCCCTAACCAGCAAAACTCCCGTGGCTCCTCCCTCATCCCCTCCCCCAAGCCAGCAGGCCCTGATTGGCCTGGCCCTGATCGGCCCTGATTGCCAACCAGGCCTAGGGACCCCACCTACACATGAATTTCATGCACCAGGCCTCTAGTATATATATTATATAATTTCACATCTGCCTACCACAGGGACTGAATATTCAACACTAGAGGAAGCTCAAATGAAATTGTTAGCCTCTTACAATTCCTTGATATAATAATTGCAACACAGAAACCAGTTAGCAAAGACTAGTCGGCTGAGGGAAGGTAGCATTTAAATGAAGTAAGAAGTAATTCATGATCAGGAGTTTCCAAATAGCCATCAGTGTCACTGACCACTGTCCATTTCAGTTTCTCCTGAAAGTTCTCTGAGTCAGGTACTAGAACTCCTAAGTGCTAGCACTGTGCGGCCCACAGGATTCTGGGTAGAGTCTACTGCTCTACAGTAACATGCAGTTCTATACAGCACTTCTTTCACTAAAGAATATCCTTGGTACTTAAGAGTACAAAGAGAAAAAAGAAAAAGAAAAAACAAAATAAGAATACAAAAAGCACACACATTCAGAGATCAAACAATTCACCCAAGTTCAAGTCTCAGTTTTCCTTTATAAAATAGATGTTTACATTTAGGCCAAGAACAGGGAGCTAAAGTTGGGGAGTGGCATTTAGGAGTGTGGGCGGGGAGAGAAAGTATATATTACCATATTAAGAAAATATCTTGCTAGTTCTCTCTGAAATCTGCATTGCAAATTACTTCTAAATTAGTGGAAGAAAATCTGTAATGCAAAATTGAAGTATTTAAGGTTCATTTCTATTCTACTCAGACTTAAGGCCAGCAAAAAAAAATGTTAAACCTTATTACTGACCTTAGGACTTCCCAAATCATGGTAGCCTCTTACCAGTCTGCACTCCTCTTATAAGAAGAAGAGTACATCAGAAACACAATATTCCAATTAGTTAAAAACCACTCTTTGGCATTAAGGTTGATTCAGATCAGAATCAGGTAGGGGGCTTTATGTTTTTGTTCTTAGTAATTTTAGAGCCAAAAAAAAAAAAAAAAAAGGACAAATCCCAAACAGCCTTCCCAACTGACCTGCATGCTCTGTCCAAATCTCTTGCTTTTTTCCTGAATAGCCAGTTGAGCAGAAGAGATGTCCCTGGGCACTTGTCCAATAGATGAGGTTTCTTTTCCAGTCAATATCCAGTAGATGGATGTTCCTAGGATGCTCTTGAATTAGGGTTCTCTCTATCGCAGTTCCCATAAAACCAACTTTCAACAAGTAGAGCCGTTTGCCAGAAGAAAACACTAGTTTTAAGTCTACCAGGGAAAAGGAGAGATTTACTGCTTACCCCTATGTCAGATAAGCCCCACGCTCCCATCTTGAGCAATGCCTCTCTCTCAAGCTGAGGCATTCCTAGAAAGGGACCTTAATAAAGTTCACTCCTAAAGCACACATGCAACATGACTGCCCTGTCTTCCTTAGAGAAGGAGTCGTTTGGGCAAAAGAAAGTGTTGCTCAGCTTTCCCAAGGCACTGACTCCGAATTTCTGCTGAAAGGTGAACTAGAAGCATGAGGATTAGGGCAGGAGTGCTGCTCCATTTGATCTGGTGATGTCCTCAAATCCTTGCTGATAGCACCCAAGTCTCAGCACAGAGAATTGCAAACTCTATTGTCCAGGTGAAGGAAAGTTAATTGGTTATTCAAAAGTTAATTAGAATATTCAAAATACAACTTAAGCTGAAGTCTTGAGTTTGACACAACAGCTTATTACACCAGGATTTCATGGCTACCTATGCATTGTGTTACTTAAAGGTAATTAGGACATGAACACATTTACGTTATTTATTCTTAAAATCTCAATGTCCTGTAGAAAAAAGTCAAGTATTTTGGATAGAGATGTTCAATGATTATGTAGCCTTTAATATTTAAAGTGGAAATAGAAGCATGAAGGACTATATTGAAGTAGACACTATTTTACAAAATTAAGTCAGAGCACATAGTAGTCATAAGACTATAGAGGAGCCCTAACCGGTTTGGCTCAGTAGATAGAGCGTCGGCCTGCGGACTGAAGGGTCCCAGGTTTGATTCCGGTCAAGGGCATGTACCTGGGTTGCCGGCACATCCTCAGTGAGGGGCGTGCAAAAGACAGCTGAATCGATGTTTCTCTCTCATCTCTCATCAATGTTTCTGCCTCTCTATCCCTTTCCCTTCCTCTCTGTAAAAAAATCAATAAATTATATATTTTTTAAAAAGACTATAGAGGATTTATTTCTTATACCAACTTAGTTGTTGTTTTGCATGTAAAACTGAGTGGTATAAGCTATTTATTTTCCTGTATGAAAACTAATCCAACCCATTAATGGATAAATGAATGAACAAAATGGAATATTATTCAGTCTTAAAAAGAAAGAAAATTCATGTTACAATGTAGATAAACATTGAAAACATTATGCTAAGTGAAATAGGCCAGTCACAAAAGGAAAACCACTATATGATTCCACTCATATGAAGTACCTAGTGTAATAAAATTCAGAAACAGAAAGTAAAATGATGGTTGCCAGGGGCTACGGGAGAGATAAATGGGAGTTATTAATTAATGGGTATAGCATTTCAGTTTGGGAAGATGACAAATTCTGGAAATGAATGGCAGTAATGGTTGCACAAAAATGAGAATATACTTGGAACCACTAAACTATATACTTAAAATGGTTAAAATGGTAAATGTTATGTTATGCATATCTTAGCACAAAGAAAAAAACCCCACCTAATCAAGGTCTTTTGATAACAAAACATTATCAAAGTAAGTTGTCAGTATAAATGTGATTGATATAAAAATGGAAGCTATATTATTTCCAGGACTATCATAGAACATGTCTCCTCGAGCCAAGCCCATTTCACCTAGGATACTTACCACTACAAGAACCAGAAGGTAAAAGAGACATTCCCTCTGGACAAACACACTTATACCCCTTGGGATGGACGGGAGACAGGAGACACAAGTGGCTGCAAGAACCTGGCGCACATGCCCGGTATCTGCCTATTTTAAAATAGAAATAGATTAGATATAATCTCAGATTTATTAATCTATACTAGTTCAAAAATTAATACTCAAGGGGGGTGAAGTCATTTTAACAATGATAGGAATACCAAAATACTTGTTACCGTCTAGGTTAGGTATGCTGACCTCTGAACTCCCATGGTCTCCTATCTCTCAGATAGTGACAATTCCTACCTATATTAAGCTCGGGCCAATAAAACTTCAACAAACAGCATCTTCTCCTTTAGAGTTAAGACAAAATGACTGTCTAACTTGTTTACAGGAAGACTTGTTTAGAAGTAAATAGTGGTCTAGGATGTCTACTTTGGCTAGTTTCTTGGACCCAATTAAGAAGCATTATCTGAGTAGAATATGACATAGAATTTCAGATTAACAAAAGTTTTTAACTCAAAGTCAATGAATATTTGACTTCCTTCTATAAATTTGGTTGAATTTTCTGTTATCAGTTGACATTGTCAGTGAATAAGCTATTCTAGCCCTTCTGTGAATAGCTTACTACCCTGTTTTGTGTGTTTCAGACATTAAAAATCTGTCACTGTGCTGGACAAGTACAAGGTACATGTTTGGAATGAGTTTCCCAGTAGACATTTTTATTCAGTTCATCTTACTGAGAAGTCCTGTACAAGTCCGGAATCATACCTAGAACATTTCCTCTGCCTCAAAATGGCAAGTTCCAACACCAGGCCACAATAGTAATTTAGATAGTTTCTGCTTGCTGTTAAGTATGCATTCTGTCTCTTAAGCATTTCAGAAGCAAGCCGTGGACTTACTCTTAGGCTGTTGGGATTTGTGGAGGACTGAGAGAGCAGATATGGAAGCATTTAGCAGCACCACTCTCTCCTTTGGTGTGTGGGGTGAAGTATGAAATAGCTGTATTTTATTTGTCCAGATGAAAGAGTTCTCAAATACAGCTAGTCCTACTGGTTCTTCATCTTCCAAGAAGATCTGAGGAAAGGTGTGCCTGCCACTGCCATCCACGTTCACCGTCTCTATGGACTGAAGGATTAGAGTGTCTCATAAGAGCGTGGAAGCATGAGCAACAGGTGCTGACAATGTTAGTGCACTTCAGTTTCTTGGGCACTAAACATCTTCACGTGATATCAACATGATAGGGATGAACTCATCTTAGATTCATGGAGGCGAATGTCAAAGCCAGTGTATTGAACTGCTTCTTGTGCAAATTTATGTTGTACAAGAAGCTACCATAACTTACTGTCCGCATCCACACATTGTACCAGATCCTTTCACTATATTCTCCAACTGCCTTCTGAAGTAGGGATTCTATCTCTTTTCAGAGAGATTAATGAGACACCATAAGTAGGCAATGCCACAGCCAGAAGTAATAGGCTTAAAAACATGAATCCCAAGCCTGTGCTTTAGCCACCAAGTCTTTTAGTTTGATGCTTCCAAAAGTGAAATAGCATGAACTGCAGTATTAAGAACTAGAAATATGAGTATAAGGCACTGAAGTACCTAAGTAACTGTATGCTTTTAAGAAGTGGTTTGCCATATTTAAAGGTTTTGTATTCTAGGTACTACATAGAACATGACCTATACTACCAGGAGATTCCAATGCTAAGTTTCACTATAGAGTGTTGAAGAAAGTCCCACTAAATCACCCAACCTATGCTGATACAGTCCAGATATTGGTCAATTGTAACTTGTTTCTCTCAGTTTTCATGGCCAGAAGATGCTTCACTGAGTTGATACAAGACTTAAGAGAATTTTGTACTTACCCATAGTCATCCCAAGTCCCAACTAAAAGGGTTTACCTCTTCCTCCTGACCTCTTCACGATACCTCTTTATATGCACTGATCCAGTAAAGCCTGCCAGTCACATGGTCAAGTGTCAGTCCTACAGGGTCCTCCATGTTTACAACTGCAAGCACCTTCCTATCAGAGCCATCCATCCCTGCAGTGTCAATAGTCCTCATGCCTTTCTGACCTCGATTTACCCAGTACAGGTACCTGAGAAAAGCAGAAGCACAGGTGTTAGAGAACCCCCTCAGTTGCATATACATTATTCTTAACGGTCAGGCTCCCTCAGCTCTGTCATACATGTCTCATATGATTGCACTGCTAAGAATGCTAGAGATTTCTGCTCTTAGACTTTCAAAAGTTTGGCTGCATATATTCAATTTAGACTTCAAAATTGATTCATTTTTTGGAGAAAATGAAACCTAGATTGAAAAGGTTGAAGTGGCCTGGCCAATGTGGCTCAACAGTTGAGTGTCAACCCATGAACTAAGAGGTCACCAGTTCAATTCCTGGTCAGGGCACATGACCCTAGCATGAACTAAGAGGGGAGTGTGGGAGGCAGCTGATCCATGATGTTTCTCTCTCAGAGATGTTTCTATCTCTCTATCTATCTCCCTTCCTCGCTCTCTAAAAATAAACATATTTAAAAAATAAATAGAGATTAAATTCTCTTCCTGTCATCATGAAAAAAAAAAGTTGAAATGTTCTCTTATCAACTGAAATATCTAAGGTAAGCAATGATTTTGGATATATTCCCAAAGAAACACTACTTACTTCTTTACAGGAAACACGATTAGCTGCTCTGGCACAAGATCCTTTTCCAGGATTCTGACGTAGCCTCTGCCATCACTTAAACCAGCACAGATGACCCTTGCAAAGCTGCTAGCCCAATATAACTGTCCCGTGAACCAGTCCAAAGAGACACTGTTCACTGTTTTGAGTTCTGGGGACACAGAAGACAGTATTACGTTCCTATATTCTTCTATACCCATCTTACCTTTTTAAAAAATATATTTTTTTATTGATTTTAGAGAGGAAGGGAGAGGGAGAGAGAGTTAGAAACATCAATGATGAGAGAGACTCATTGATTGGCTGCCTCCTACATGCCCCCACTGAGGACCAAGCCCCCAACTGGGGCATGTGCCCTTGACCGGAATCAAACCCGGGATCCTTGAGTCCACAGGCCAACACTCTATCCACTGAGCCAAACCAGCTAGGGCTACCCATCTTAGCTTTAAAAAAGAGACTTGGACATAACTTTTCTATAGCTTCTAACTTCAAGCTGTACAATGAGGCAAATAGGATACAGGAAGAGACTGAAGGGTGTTTCCAATACACACTTGGTAACAGGGAAAGGGAAAGACCTTAGCAAAAGTATAACCAAGGAATCCAAGAGAACGTGACTTCAATTTGGAGCCATTTTTACATCAGAAGTCTCAGGTGAATTGTCATGAACTCTACCTCTTTTTCACATGCATCCACCAGTTCAGCGGTTCTCAACCTGTGGGTCGCAACCCCTTTGGCGGTCAAATGACCCTTTCACAGGGGTCGCCTAAGACCATCCTGCATATCAGATATTTACATTACGATTCATCACAGTAGCAACATTACAGTTATGAAGTAGCAATGAAAATAATTTTATGGTTGGGTCACAACATGAGGAACTGTATTTAAAGGGCCCGAAGGTTGAGAACCACTGGTCTAGTTCATTCCCCATGCTT